AGACTTCAAAATGCGAGTGCGAACTCTGCCCACAGATAGGTGCACGGCGTATACCCGAGGCGTTTTCCCATAAAAACGCCTCCTCTGTCAGCGGCCGTAAGCAGACAAACTTTCTGAAGAGAGTTTCGATGCTTTCAAATAAAATCTAAGCGAAACAAAGTGTAGCGAATTTGCTGAATTGAGTTCTAGAGACGCCGTAGGAAAATTGAGGCAGAAGAAGGAATTTCAGGAAATTTCACAGTTGTTATGAAGTACTCTTCGAGTGGATTCCAACAATCTTTACCGCTTCTCATCACATTAATTTTAAAGGAAGTTATGGGCCTTTGAAGACTGCATAGTCGCGGTCCAGGAAAATGGCTTGAAAAAAATCAAGGTGGAATAAACGGAACAACGGGACTATTTTTTGAGCGAGTGATTATTTCAAGAAGTTTTAGCACTTATTCGAAAGCTCTAATCCTCTAGTTTCTAATTAGCCTTAGACATCTGCAAAATGTTGAGTATGAAGAAAGTTATTAACGTTTGAATGTCGAAAACTCGCGCCTTCTCAAAAATCGGACCCCAAACCACCCAAGAACGGAACAACGGGACTATTTTTTGAAAAAATGATCGCTGGAAAATTTTCAGGTGCTTGTTCGAAAGCTCTAATCTTCTAGTTTCTAATTAGCCTTAGACATTTGCAAAAAGTTGATTATGAAGAAAGTTATGAATGTTTGAATGTCAAAAACTCGCGTGTGCACAGAAAACGGAACAACGGGACGATTTTTTGAAATATTGAACATCCACAACATTTCAAATACTCCTCAGGAAGAAAACTATTTATTTTTAAAATTTTGGTGTCCGATTTCATGAAACAGCTTCTGAAAGAAAATATAACCTTCTGAATGGAGGGGTTTGGATTGCAATGTAATTGCTACAAGGTTTAGTTTTTCAGATTATAAGGTAAGGAAAGTTGAGAGATCGAAAAAATCCTGGTGGGTTTCTGAAAGTAGAAATCTTTACGATTAAAATGATGTATTGGTTTACGCAAAAATTTGGAAATTCCTTCTATTTAATGAATAAAACTTCATTTGCCTCGATTCCCTCCTCTGAGCGAGACAAAGCGCGCGGATTGACCACGGTCCACCACTTCTCCATGTTGGTGACTGCCATCATTGATGAGCATTGATGAGCATTAAATTATGTGAAAGACATGATAGTTAATATGGGGGGTCGTACCGATACCCCCCGAAAAGGAAGGGGGTCGTAAAAATTTTGGAATTTGCGCAACGCAGGGTTGACCCCTGTTTTGCCTCCTTACAGTGCGGTGCCTACTGCATCAGGCCGGCCCGATCTCCTCCTTCCAGTGGGCGCAATTACGAACCACGACCCCCCCCCCCCCGGTGACGTATCGAGATTCCTCACCCGCACGGCTTGACCCTGTCCGTCAACCCATCGTGGTTGCTTTGAATCGCTTAATCGGTAGCCTTCGTTTACTTTTCTCCGATGGAAGATCAGTTTAGATCTATTTTGCTAATTTTAGCTTCTAAGTCCGTCCTTTCGGTGCACTCCCCATCCTCGACCTTCAATCCAATCTCTAACCAATTTTTTCCTGATGTTCCGACAGCCTCGAAACCGCGAGGAGTTCCACGATAAGGTAGGTCGAGGAAGGGGTATGCCTAGACGAAAGGTAAGCGAGAAGCGCGTTTTGCAGTGAGGAGTATGCCTCCAATGGCCTAGCAGGTGCTAACTTAGTTGGGGGGGGGGACCGCGCGGCGGCGGCGCGCTTTGCTCGCCTGGCATCTTTGCGTACTTCGGGAAATCCGTGAGCCAGGGGACTGTAGGCAGTCTAGGGGGTGGGGGGTGAGGGCAGTCACTTGACATGCGTGAAAAGCTGGAATGTTCGAGTTCACACTATCTCGCTCGAGAGAGCGCCAGGCGAGCAAAGCGCCGCGCCGCCGCGTGGTCCCCCCCCCCAACTAAGTTAGTACCGCCTAGCAGTGGGTATCGCCGTTCGAGCCTCTGCACGTCCTGTCGATAGGTAACATCTCACCGTCGCAAAGAAGGGGTTCCACATCTAAGGTTCCGATGTGTGCCAGGAATAGGAAATGTGTTTGCATACAGAATATAAAGCAGGTAGAGAAAAATGCTATTAAATACTCAAATGTGTCGCAGGCGTTGTACTCTCTTTCCTTTTTTCTCCAGAGGCTAATTGTGGAAGGTAAGCACGGCAATGATCAGTGCCATTTCGGGAAGCGCCACGCATTCCCCTCACATTCAGTGTCGTAGTTGTAGTTTGACTGCGATTTGGCCTTGACAATGGTCAGCCACTGTACGAGACAGTGGTGTTATCCTCTCAGACAAGTCTTGCACTAAATAAACCGACCTTCAAGGGAGAGACATGGCTGTCCCGGGCGTCGTACGACTGGCTTCGATCCCGGACTCTCCGCAGGGTGAGGGCGCCATACGCCTCTGCACCACTCCCCAACCCTTTCTGGAAATTGGTATTAAAGTGTGGAGGCTTCACGGGAGGAACCAATAATTAAGGGATCTTTTGATGTGGTGCAATGCTACGTGTGTTGTTGCTCTCCGAATTTGGCTGTATGCTTACAACGGCGCTCATCCGGTAAGGGGGGGGGGCATTGTGATGCAACGTCAAGTGGCTGCCCTCACCCCCACCCCCCTGCTTCACTCCCCCTGGCTCACGGGGTCCCGTACTTCGAGAAACCTGTGCGCCAGGGGGAGTGTAGGCAGTCTAGGGGGGGGGGGGTGAGGGCAGCCACTTGATGCCCCCTTACTGGATGAGCGCCCCCAAACATTTAAAGCAACAGTCCAGGCAGGGTTTCAACTACTTGGTCATTAGGCGGTCAAAACATGCCCCAGCCCAACTAAAGTTTATAGGAAATGTCTTTAATTTCAAAACCTACCTCTAAAATGCGCTGGAAGGGGTCGAAGTCCTCTTGGAGGGGGCGGATCACCCATAAAGAGGCGGATCGCCCAACATACGCTGTGCAGAGCGCTTGCTCGACTAGCGGTCGTTGCGGGACCGCCGCGCTGTATGAGGTCGATTCCATAAGAACGCAATTGAAGCGCTTCAATTTCGATTGCTGGCAAATAGTTATGTATTTGCAAGCATGCATGGCTATTTGCCAGCAGTCAACTGGAGCGCATGTACTACGGGCAGGTTCGGACAACTCGTCCAACACACATCTCCCTAAACGGCGGGGGAGTCCCTGTCTAAGCCCCTGCCCGACGTTTTTTTCTACTTTTTCTTTCTCCATTGACCAACTTCTCACCTGCAACGTCATTATAGGTGGTCCTTACCCGCGAATTCGTTCCTGGATTGTTGCTTTAAAGCAACAGTCCAGGCAGGGTTTCAACTACTTGGTCATTAGGCGGTCAAAACATGCCCCAGCCCAACTAAAGTTTATAGGAAATGTCTTTAATTTCAAACCTACCTCTAAAATGCGCTGGAAGGGGTCGAAGTCCTCTTGGAGGGGGCGGATCACCCATAAAGAGGCGGATCGCCCAACATACGCTGTGCAGAGTCCGCGCTTGACTAGCGGATCGTTGCGGGACCGCCGCGCTGTATGAGGTCGATTCCATAAGAACGCAATTGAAGCGCTTCAATTTCGATTGCTGGCAATAGTTATGTATTTGCAAGCATGCAGCTATTTGCCAGCAGTTGCAATTAAAGCGCATGTACTACGGGCAGGTTCGGACAACTCGTCCAACACACGTCTCCCTAAACGGCAGGGCATGTCCCTGTCTAAGCCCCAGTTGGGCGTTTTCTTCACTTTTTCTCTTTACGTTCGACCACTTTTCACCTACAACTTCCATATAGGTGCTTTTGGCCCGCAAATTCGTTCCTGGACTGTTGCTTTAAGATGAGAAAATAACAGGCATAAAAGTAAAAAGTCGATGATGTACCATCTGCAGCACGCAGTACATAGTGAGAAGGCGGGGTCCACCTGTGGGCAAGTGACAGGCAGGTGCGATGTAACGAGAGGCGAGAATTCATTACCCAGGCGTTGATTGCTCATCTGGCTGCCTGCGAACACTTACACTTCTTAGGACATATTCGACGCGAACTCACCTTTCAGGGACACCACCCGGCTCCTCCAGACATCGGGCTCAACTGAATTCCTGGGAACCCCTCCCTCACTTTGTAGTACTCTAAGAGTCGCTCAGTGATCGTTCACAAAATCTGACATTTCCTTGACTGTCGTTCTACGGAGGCATTTGTAGCCCAAATGCGCACCAGGCCTTCGCAATCCTACCCTCTTCAGTCCCAATTTTTTCCGTGCAAAAATTTCAGGCTACTGTTTACTACTTATCAGCATATGTATGAAACTAGTAAGCCGAGAGAATCTACAATCTACACAGCTTCCTAGTTCTATAGCTTATGTCGAAAAAATTCCAAATTTCTTAGTGATGCTGAATAAGACTATGACCTACGACATTATATCTAAGGTTCTTCGACATAAACACATAAGTATCTGTCAAGTATTTTAGAAATGATTGACACTTACCCAGAACATAGAACGTAGCAAAAAAAGCGCTTCAGCGCAAGATACGCGACGCAGCCGCGGTTGATTTTGATTGTACGTTCTTATTTCTGCTGTTTAATTGTAATTTGGCATCCTTACGTATTTTTATGCAATATTTATGTTTCCAGTGTTATTGTACGATTGAAGACCTTATAGGACCATGCATTGGCATGTTGGGTTATGTGTTTGATACGGTTTTGAGGGTATTAAAATGGATTTCTCTTTTTTCTGTGCTCTATCGCTATAAGCTGTTTGTTTTTTTTAGTTGTAGACCTACAAATAGGGGTTTCAGATGCTGTCTAGATCAGTGTTCCTGGCACGGTTCGCACGACAGCAGTTCACAGACCGCAATCTTCATTGTTCCATTACGTTTGGGCAATCTTCAGAAAGCCGCCAATTCTTCAAACCAAAGAGAAGGTTCGTTTGAGATCTTGTGAGTGTTGATGATTCAGTCTACTCCGTAATATTTTAGGAACCGATCCAGATGCTCCAGTGGAAATCGCAAACAATCCCTATCAAAAAGAAGAGCGGAAATGTTTGCTATGTCGCACCGGAATAGAACTAGATTATAAAAATGCTCGTTTGTTGCAGGTTTGTGATCCTTTCTAGCCAAGATTCGTGAAAGTTCTCGTCACTCTTTAGTTTTCCTTACTATTCAGCAATTCGTGTCAACATTCTCTGGGCGAGTATATGATCGGCACATCACGGGTCTTTGTGATCATCAGCAGGAGAAGCTAGTTCGAACTATAGCACTTTCACGAAAAGCTGGCTACATGCCCATATTTGTAAAAGATCCTAAATATACTCGTGATCCTAAGCTGTTTGATCCCTTAAGACCCATCCGTCCTCATTCCTTCGCCTAATAGTTTGTACATTTAACCTTTTCATTGGACTGTCTTTTATTGTCATAGATTTTCAGATAAATTTATTTGATATTTATGTCTTCTGTTAATCTTCTACCTTTGATGTATCCATTTCTTCTGTCCATGTTTAGATCATCCTTGTTTCTTCTTCTCATTGCGCAAATTTAGAGCAGTTAAGTAGGCTTAAAAAACTTAGGAATGGAAGACGATTCAGAGTTGACCCAGACCATTTACACTCGGAGTTATTTCGTAGAACTTGTCAACCGAATTCGCACAGAGGATGACATTGCTGATTTAATCACGTACGTTTGGCGATCTACACCTTTCGGCCATGTAAGGTTTGTACAATGATAGTAATAGTTTTCAGTTTGTTTGGCACTCTCGGTAGGGATGAGCTCGAACTTGCCTTACCATCGCTGAGCTTGCTAGCTGAGAAGTGTCCGAAAGGTATGAGAGATCGTATGATGGATCTAATCCGCTTCACTCTCACAGGTAACACTTCAACACTGAAAACCGCGTTTTCTTGAAATAGATGCATTGAAACTTCTATTCTGCAGATGCGAACTCGTCTCGGTCTGCGCGAAAAGCTGCGATTTCATGTCTTAAAACACTAACGCGAGGAGACCCTATCTGGGGTAATTTCTTCACGCTAGCTCAGTGCCTGGAAGAGCCACAAGTGAGTAATTTACGCCGATTCTCCATACTGAGGAGGCACCTTTTAGGACAATCTTTCATGTTATCTTGTTCCAGTTCCATATTCTCAATCCTGTCCTACCTCGAATGGATCTTGTGATGCAGTCGGTTTATTCGAACATGTTAGATTTTAAATGGGCAAAAGTCTTGCTCACAAGAGCCCTTGCTCACTCTAATGGTTGGATACGGCTGTGGGCGCTAGAGAAACTGGTGGCAGTCAAGGCGAATTTCTTGGCTTCAGATCAAAACGTAGGTACTTGTGGGAGCTAGTAAAACATCCCACAATGCTACACCTTCAGATCTCTTAGCATTTAAATTTTACTTCAATTTTTAGTTACTATTCTGCGTACTTCTGAAACACCTCGATTCAAATGATCCTTTCTGGCGACTTTTGGAACGTCAAAGACTCAAGTCTTTTTTGAAATCGCTGTCGAATTTATTTGAAGGGATTGCTCTTTCTCTGAATGATGGCAGTAGAGGTATTTACCTAGTGTCGTCTTTAGTGTCTGCATGGTTACTGAATCTCACTGTGTTTAGAAGATTTCATGAGGGAGACTCTTCGAAATGTTGGTCTGATATCTAACCCATCATCACTGTATTTCATGTCAGAGACCCTCAAGACAATCACTCCGTCACGTTGTCTTTGCCTGAAGGATTTTCCTTTGATTATGTCAGTATAAAAACGGAGATGTGGCTTGGTTTTCAGTACCCATTTTCTAAAGAATATTCATATTCAGTAACCTCGCTCAGAAAACGCGATATATTCAACATACTACTATGAGGCTTGTTACACTGTACAATTTTGTCCTATTTTTTTCCAAAACGCTTGAGCAGGTCAGTTTTTTGACTTATTGCTCCTCCTTACATGCTATAATGTTTACCAGCGCTAATGCTGTTCTAATATTGCAGAGTTGTGAAACAATCAACGAACTTGGAGTTCTCACTGCTTTATTTTCTCGTGAAGATCCTTCTCTCTTAGATGGCTTCGTTAATGAGAACAGTTCGAAAGACCTACTTCACCATATGAAGGAACCCCTTGATATGATTGAAGTGGCGGTGCACTGTCGACGGGAATTTCATGTATGAATTGGGTATAGTAAGAGTTTCGCACTTTCATTTTGTGACGCAGAAGAACCACAGCCTAACAAAACTTACTTTAACTCGAGGTTTTTCTCAGTATTCTTCCAATCACATTTGAAAATGCTTTTTTCTCACGTTGGCATCACGCATGTATTCATCACCTGCACCTCGTCCCTTATACGATTCCACAATACCTCACGTGTCAATAGCAATGATTGTTCAATTTTTTAGAGAGATGATTTCGCCATTTTGTTATGGACACGAGCAAGGCTATCTGGACACGATGATCAGCTCCAGAAACTAATTGAGCTGGAGTTAGCTGATCGGCTCATGGCTGTGGAAGAAGGAGTGGATATGGTGTTATCTAGCACAATGGTAGAAAGCGTCAACACTCTGCTGACATTACTATGTACTTCTCCTAGAGGTGTGCATTAAATCATCTATGTGTCCCCTGCAGTAACACTAAGCCTTTGAATATATTGACATATGTATTGTGCTTCAGACTTGACGTCAGTTGATCCAGGGCTCACACAACTAATTCATGGATATATTCTGTTGCGATGCGCTGTAACCACCGCTACAGTAGGATTTAATCTTCATTACATTCCTGAATATTTTATTTCTTTAATTTTGCTCAGCTGTCTTCGTCTTTTTTAGGAGGCAGAAAACTATATAATTCTTGCTGTATATATGAAAATTCTCCGACGACTGAAGTATTATCTCAAGCCTATCGCAGATCTTGCTCTCACTCTCATATCCGAGGTAATTTCTTGCTCATCTTTCTGATATCCTTCTAATGTTTTCCGTTTCAAGGATGGTATTCCTCTTGCCCGAGAGACTCTTCTGCTTCAAGTAGTCAATGAAATATACGACGACCTCACAAGTGACGAAAAACATGATGCAACTCAAAGAATCGCTCAGTATTTAGGAGATGACGCTCTTTCTCCAGTGCGGCGTACACTGTAGGTTAAGCTGACGGTAACCATGATCACCTTAAAGGAGTCATCCTCGGAAATAGCTCTCCTCCTTTCTCTACATAAGGGAATTATTTGCTGTAACTAGAGGCAGTGTACAACGTTTAGTGCTTAAGCAAGTGCGAGAGGGGGGGAGGGAGTTTAATGTTTCTGTGGATGATCTCTTCAATTTTAATTGGTCATCTAAAAGGTGGACTTTTATCCACTTTTTTTATTCAGGACCGACTTTCCGCAGGGTAAGGACCTCAACAAGCTGACTTCACTGCTTCATGAATATCGCCTCAGGCTTATCATTAAGTATGCTTTCTGGTCTACGTTTTTTCTGATATCACGTGGCTTGAATAACTTTTTTTATCAGGTGTCGCTTGCCGGAGTGGTCCACAAGGATGCTAATGAGTTGGTGAAGGAATGCGTTAGCTGGCTCGAATGCGCTTCGCGCATACCCTGTTGCTGAATGTTATTTAGAAATAGCCGACATGGTCGCAGAAGAAGTTCGTTTATCATCATATTGTTTATTTCCCAGTCCTTCTTCAAATCTCTTTTGAATGGAAAGAGCTGAGCTTCTGCGAATGTGAGCAGGGGCTCAGACCTTGCGAAGCAGAACCGCTTGTTGATAGCAGCGTTTTCGTTAGGCGTCTTTGAGAATAATACAAATAGCGATCAGCTATGTCCTGAAGCTTCCGCTGTTGAGCTCTTCAAGATTGTGAGCATTTTCATCTATAAGCTTCAGGCTTTATTGTTGGGACTGTCCCATAATTTCTGCCCGAATTTTGACACTTTCTTCTCTTTGAATTTTATCTTTATTAAAAGCCGATTGACCAAAAATATAACCATTATCACTCACTGATATGCATCCATTTGCCAGGAACCTCCTGCTTGCTTTCCTCCCATTGAGTGGAGCAAGGAATTGAAGATTTCAAGAAGGTCGTCTTGGGGTCTTACATTCATACTTTTTTTCTCTCACCACTGCTGCTTCAAGGAAATGAAGGGGATAGCTTGATAGAGTGGTATCAGGGCTACATAAAGTTTGGATATGGTATCGTGGTCCAGCCAATTTCCCTCAAACCGTAGCGGGTTATCTTTGAGATGTGAGGGTGGGGCCCCTTGGAGAAAGGGGGTTTTGAGACGTTCAGGACGGTTCTCTCCACTACTGCGGCCAACCCTGGAGCTGTTCCACGATGGTCTTTACAACACTTGTTTGCATATAGCAAAGCGGGTATCAAAACGAAAATCCACTTAATCTAACAAATCAAGAACAATATTCTTCGAACACGGAGTTTGGGCTTTGGATGAGCTGGTGAGTCCCGGCTGCGAGTAGGCAACAGACGTATCGCTTGTTGTTGTCACAGTAGGCTTATGACTCATCTCCATTAGTAGTCGAGTAGGAAAATTCCCATTGAAAGCCAGCAAGAGAAGACTTGCGCAGATGGTCAGATGTGCTTTTCGGTCATGGTCGGTCGGTGCATGCGGTTCCCATCGAGGCTTCATTCTGCTGCAGCCGTTTCCATTCAGATGGCGAGTGATGGTGCATCGGTTTGCCCAGGTATCTGCTACAAATCCCTGGTAGTAGCGTCCGTGTGCACTTCCAATTCATGGCGCAAGGGGTCCTCATCGAAAGTGAGTGGAGGCCCAGGATGAGGTTGATTTTCACAGCTCGTATTCGTCTTTGCCGTTGCGACCGAACCACTAGCTCAGTGCCCGATCAGTAGCAGAGACTGAGCCAAACACAGCGCTGATCTTCTCTAGTGTCCTCCTTGCAACAGCGTTCATTTGAGGATCGTAAAGCATAATCGTTCGTTATTGTCGTTGATCTATTTCGGTTCCTAGTCAATTCCCGAGCGGGTTTGACTTTCCAAAACCTCCTGGCTAACGGTCTAGATGCACTCTTTGACATACCAACATATTTCGCAATGACACTAATTCGACTTGAAGAAATTTGAATTTGATCAAAAATCGGACAGGAATTATGAGACAACCCAATAGTTCAGTTATGTATGTACTAAGCAAGAGTACTGCAAGTTGTGATGCTAGCAAGTCTGCAGACATCCATAATGGTGTTAGGATGTGTCGCTATGACAGAACACGTCTTTTCCTCTTTTTGCATCTCGGAGCTTTTTCTGCTGTAGGAACTCCAGGTTCACTCATGTTTAGCGGTTGCCCGGGGTTTTCGCATCGAAAGGAGTCTGACGCTGCGGAAAACGAAGAGTTTGCTTCTGTCTTAGCGCCACACATTCGTGACGTTCTTCAAGCTTTGAAAGGAGTCCTAGAAAGCGTGGGTTTGTCGGATCTTGCCTTCTCAAAAAGGGGTTCAACGTTATTTCTGTTCAGTCTGGGATAGTCAAAGCTAGCATAACCAAATGCATTGTTCAGTGGATCGGCCTGCAACCTGATGTAAATTAGCTTTTTTGCTGTTTATTCGAGATCTCATTCGTTTGCTGTTTAACTTAGCTATTGGGGATGAGAAGTGAA